CTAACACAAGCATTTATTTACACACATTTTGTTGATTCTTACTCTCGAGAATCTTTTACAACTTTGGAGAATAGGCGGAGGAGGTTCACAATACATATTTAACAGTATAAGACATATATGTTTCTAAATATAAATTAAATCAAACAAACGTTGATATTAAAATACATATATAATAACAAATTTGTTACAAACTCCATCTACAGGAAGTTATGCTTTGCATTTGGTGGGAACATCAAAGGATTAATTCATTTCAAACTCCTCAATCTACAGTGAACTTTTTAAATGCCTTGTAAATTTTGCATTTTGTTATATTTGATCCGAGTTCAATTACAGTACTGAATCGTTGTTGAAACTGAAAGAGTGAAACATTGGGTATTAAAAATATTTTGTCTGGTTACTGGACTTTTTCAATGCAAATGTGAGTTTGATACTATAGTGCCAAACTAATTTAAGTTTATCTTCTGGTGATTTGAAAAGCATATTACATCAACTTAAAGGATAACACAAAATTTATTGATGTATGTGTATCTTGTTCATGGAATTATAATTAATAACAAAAATGTAAAATTATTTTATATGTACATTTATTACTGTTTTTCTTTTTTGTAAAGAATAACCTTCTTGTTGGATAATCTAATGTATTTTTTGCTGTAACATATTCTGTTTCTAATGTCATTATTTTCTAAAAGCATGTTTGTACTTTTCACTATATTTTTAAGAAGTTTTTTAGTCTTTTTTTGTTGTATAAATCATTTAAGAGATCCTTTTTTAGCATTACCAGTACTGCTTTTAAAAATTATATTTTTGGTTTTTCTTTAGTGGTTTAGATAGTTCAAATTGTCAGCAATGCATTACGCTTTTGAAGGCATTAGCAAGAGAAGGACGTAATGTTGTTTGTACCATACACCAGCCAAGTGCCCGAATATTTGAGAATTTTGACAAGGTATAGAAAACTATGCTTTTTTTTTCTTTTAATAACTGATATAATTAAATTATGTGTATCAGTGAGATACTCTGTTATTTTACCATGGTATTAATTTTTTTTTTCTAATAAATTAGGATGCTACTTTTGCTCTACATAGCATTGTCTTTCCAGACTCTTTGTTTACATTTTTATGATGTAGTAATTTTACAAGACATTGTTTGTCATGAGTGTTAGAATGGTGAAATATTTTAGTGTTGTAAACTAATGTATTGAAGAAAAGTTCAGTTTTGTCACAAAATACGTTTTTATTATTACATATTCTACATTTATTCACAAATCATACAGAAATTGTTCTGAGATATTTTTCGTTATATAAATTTTGCACCTCGAGTATTTAATTATTTATTGTATGTGGAATACTCCGTTGCTTTGTGGTCGATGTAAATATTTGTGGGTTTTGTTTTTTGTACCTTTATTTACTTAAGTTATTGAAAAAGGTTTTAACCTGTGTGAGAGTATACTGCAGAAAATAAGTGCTTTGACCATATAGTTACATCGTAGAAAAGTTGTATAGTTTTTTAATAAAATTAATTCATCTTTGAAAGTAATATGAAATATATGTTTTTTTGCTTAATAATAATGATATCAATGTTCTTTCAAAAGAAAAATCAAGTAAGTTTAAGATTTTTTTTTTTACATTAATATTAAAATCAACATCTTCAAGCTGCTTAAGTAATTATTGCATCTTCCCTTGACCAGTTACTTTGAAGTGTACTTTAAAACAAGTTTGAAACCAAACATGGATAATAACAGTTAGGTTATTAGAAGGAGGAGGAGATTGCCAGTTGTTTTAAAGCATATGATTATGACTTTCAAAACTTTTCAATACTTTGTTGTTTTGCTCTAAATAATAGCTTGAAGGAACTGTATGCTTGTGGAAAGACGTAAAAGAAAAGTAGTGAATTTGTGATAACCCTTAAATGGATATTATAAAATTCAACTTGGTAAACCATCTTGCACAAAAGTCACATAGATTTGATAAAAATTGCACAGGCCTGCCATGGCCAGGTGGTTAGGGCGCTTGCCTTGTAATCTGAGGGTTTGAATTCCCATCCCACCAATTATGTTCACCCTTTCAGCC